ATTCTAACACAATTCTGTGCATATAATAACTGAAAATGATGTGCAACGTCTTCAGTGAATCTAGTATGAGTAACCGATGATTAGAAAAGCATTTTTCTCTTATTTATTTCGGTATTTCGAACAAATTGCTTTTTTTTCTCTTTCCTAGTGTACTAGTGTTTATTTGACTTGTTCGTATTTATTCTTTATTCATTTTCTATCCGATTATTATTATTATTATTGAAAGTTAGAACTTGAGGGTGGGTGTGGATATGAATGAAGAGATTATTAAAACATACACCCACACTCCACACCCTTAATTTTCTTTTTTGCATTGGTTTTTTTAGATGAAATATTTATTGAATTCGGTAATGATACATTTGATGTATTACTTGTTGATTGAGTAGTTTTCGTTGATACTAGTTCATCGAATGTATACTCCGTTGTTGATAATGATACAATGGTTGGAAAACAATTAAGAAAATGATTTATTCAGTATAATAAAAGATGTATTGGTACTGATTGTAAATATGCACGAAATATATGTTTCGCACTTCGACAAAGAACTTCAGTTACAACCATTTCCTAAAAAAATTTTAGAAAATTCAATATATTGAATATAAAATCAGAAAAATTTACTTACATATATGTAAGTAAGAGAAAGCTATTGAGTAAGAAATTAACATTGGAGTAGGTGTGGATGTCCGATCTGTCTTCAAACACACCCACACCAAGAGACCTCATAAAATGACTGCATGGGAAGCCAATACACTGCAAAAAATCCACTCATTTTTTACTCGAAAAATGGTCGATCTTAGATAGTATTTCGCAAATAGCTCTACATTATTCCACGCAAATATAATATGTAAATAGGTAACTTTATTCAGCGTTGGATGCTCTAGCTTTTGGTATATTATACGAAAAAATGCGTTAATTTTTTGTTATCTGAAAAAACTCAACTTTGTAGAGATGACTTTTGATAATATTTTTCAAATATCCTCGTGAGTGCTCGAAAGTCGAATCGAACTAACTTTTCACCAGCTCAGCCAAATACGCTAAAAATTTGGTCTTAGAGATTTTAGATGATGTTGAACAAGATGAGAATATCAACCGAAAAAAATCAATTTTGACGAGTGCTTCGATTTCTCGATAGCCTCATGGATGCTCTCATAAAAACCTTTCATCAATCATAAAACATGATATTGAGAGAAAAAATGTCCAAAAAATTACTAAACTCTAATATTTTTCAGATGAACAAGTTAAAATTATTGAAAGATGTGTTGTAAACAATTTTAAAATTTCAAAGAAATAAGGATGTTTGTTTTCAATTTTTTAAAGGTGAACAAATGGAATATAAAATGATGATGATGTATAGTACTCTTCCTAGACTATTAGCTACAATACAACGCAATGCGAAGAGGACATGTATATAAAATAATATATGTAGAGAAAGGTATTCAAGGTTTTTTTTGTAAATGCTTGTACGCACTGGATATCGTGTGCACATGCATTATTTTCGTTCTTTCTCTGCTAGCTCTCTTCGACTACAGGCTACATGTGCGTCATGGATGATGACTCTCACGCACTGTGTATCTCTTAGTTAGTAGGTAATCGATGCGTTTCTATTTACTGTCTACGTTTGTTTTTCCTTTTTTTTCTTTCTTAAGGTGATCAAAAAGCAAAATTTCGTCTCATTACTTAAGCCTTAACGTGAAATGGCATGCGACATCGTAAAATATGTTGCAGTATGGTATTGGAAATCAAACGAGAATCCGTGTTCTATGAATGAAATTGAAACATGGCAAAATTATTCGGCAATCGATAATGAAATGATAGAAAATGAATTTAAAAAAAATGCAAAACACATAATACTTGATGAATATATTATTGATTTTGAGAAGTTAATTCAAACTAATAAAGATCACTCAAACGGAAAGAAAGAGCGTCCAGTTAAGCGTATTCTAGAAGATGTAACAACGCATCCACGTAACATTAATTATAAAGAAAGATTGTATTCTACTGAATTACCAGAAAAGACAATAGGAAATATTAACTGGAATTGTTGGTATGAAGAAAAATCATTAAAACGTATGCCACCCAATTGCGGAAAATTTATTCGCGAATGGTTGTATCAATTGTTGCCTGAATATATTGAGTGGACTCCGGAAGATTATCAGCAATATGTTACAGCATTAGCTCGTGGTTTTGTACAAACAAAACATCCGCAATATATATCAGATGTAATCCAAAATCCTCGAAAGGCCTATCCATCCGGTAGCAATGTTCTAACTAAACTATCAAAGGAGTTGGTAAAGACGACTACAAAAGAAGCGCAGAAAACCATAAGCGAGTTTCCACATATATGCAGCATGCATGGTTATAACTGTCCTTTTCTGCCATACACCCATACTAGCTATAATTTACAGGAACAATACTCTTCATCAATATGTGAAAATACACAACGAGATTTTGGGTCCTTACTTTCTTTAGAATTAGCGGAATTCAAAGAGGGATATTGGTGTTTACAATTATCCACGGATGTAGGTTATATGGGAAAAAATGGTTCACGACAATATGATAGGTGGAATCGAAAGAAACTAGGTTTTCATTTTGCCACAAAAAGAGAATCGAGTTGTTCGGAACAGAATAGCGATGACTCATCTCAACTTCAGTCTGAAATATTTCCCAGCGTCGTCCGACCAATGGGGTGGACGAATGCTTTTTCGTGCTGTCCACTTAAAAGAATATTCTCACGTAAATCCAACGTCCATTATAAGACTTCATTTCAAAGATTAAATCTTCGCAGCGCTCCTGAAGTAAAACAGCCATTTTGGTATAAACACAGAGGCAAAGCAGCCGCTTACCAATATTTTGATTATATACAATTAGTAATATCATTCAATAATAGATCGTCAAACCCAATCGCTCCAAATATGCTTATGCACGACCGCGATCCGGAGTGTCGGTTGTGTCGTAGTTCGAATGAACACTTAGGTCGTCCTTTCTGCTTCTGTAAATACTCTCAATGCTACGACTATGATGGTGTATCTAATAGACCGTTTCTTCGTTTAGAATTGAATGATCAATGTCATAAGTCAACTTCCAAATCAATTTGGGTAATTTATCCACGTTCTACGGGTTATTTAACAGATGATTCAGAATATTTGCAATTGCTTGAATGTGCTCATCAAATTTCACACGAAACAAATACACCGCTAGTGACAACAATTGAAGACTATCCTACAATATTAAAAAGAAATGGTGGATCAACGGCTGGTTATAGACGAGCTAGAGGAACATGGCAAATAACAGAAGAACATAAAATGGAATGGTTGGAATATGTTGTTAAAGAAGCAGCTCAGGGTATAATTGAAGAAGGTGAAAAAGTTGGTAAACTAATTGCCGCCAAATATATTGCCGATGCTCTATTACAAGCGTTTAAAGATGATGATCTTTGGCGTTGTTGTATTTATTTATATACACTTGAATCATTTCTTTATCGATGTATTAACCGAGCTTTAAGAGATGAAGATATAACTAAATTAAAATCATTAGGACCATACTGCTATCTATTACATTGGAGTCTTATTGGTGATCAATCAGTTAATGTTTCGAACAATAAAGAAAAGCAGCTTTTTACAGGTATAGTTTATCGTGGTATGAACCTTGAAGAATGGGCAATTGAATCTTATAAAACAGCTAAAGATTCCTATAGATCATGGCCTGCGTTCACATCAACTACAAAAAATCGTGAAATAGCATCATTATTTGGAAATGTATTGTTTATTATCGATATACAAAATGATGTATTTATATCTCAAGATATTTCAATGGTATCACAAATGAAAGACGAAGAAGAAGTTTTATTACGTGCAGGAACAATATTCAAAATATTAGATATCGAGTATGATACCACTGAAGAAAAGCATCTAATCTATCTTGTTATTGGCGACTTAAATTATTATACATTCAATGTTAGAAAAGCCTGCAATAAGATAAATGTATTAGAAGATGAATAACCTAATATTTCGATTATTTTAGAAATAAACTTCAAATTGAAATCTAGTGTTGGATTTATAAAAAACAGCTCAGAGTTGTAACCGGCCCGGCGAAACCGGTCCGGACCGGCCGGTCCGGTCCGGTGCCGGGCCGGGCCGGTTTGAACAGCTAGACCGGCCGGTTTTTACCGGTTTTTGCTGGTTTGAAAAAGTTGTGTTATTATTAATTTTTTAATAAGATAATATTATTTATTTCTGTTCATTACAATTTTTGAAACGAAAAGAGCAAAAGTTTTGTTTTTCGATGTAAATTCAAATTTTTCTATACATTAAATTTCCTCTTAAAAGATTTCTATTATCTGCTATTTACAACATCTTAATAATCAGAACAGTGTCACATATTGATTGTTATTTTTTTTTATGTATTCCTTTTGATATTAGTTCAATTCTTGTTAACATGCCGACACATCTTTAATTAAATTAATAGAAAAGAGAGTAGGCCGTCAAGCTGATTGTACAGATAGATATACGCACGATACGATAAGTATTCGTCATATTTTTTTTATTCAACACAGTAAAAGTACGTAACATAAACTTCTTATTTTTATAATTATTATGGATGCGGACACATAGTTTGTTAATTTAATATGTATCATTATGATATTTTTTTTGTGTAAATTTTGTATATAATAAAAGAAGAAATTTAAATCAATTATCAGCTTTTGCAGAAAAGAACTTTATTTTGTCCAGAACATATTCAATCGTAGAAATTTGCGTTATTGTTTGCTATGAAAATGATAATATACATGAAAAGGAAAGTGTAAAAACCAATTTATGGATAAAAGGTCTATGTCTAGAACTAGTTTTACCATGTAAAGAAAATTCATACGTCTGCCGGTTTTTGCCGGTCTAGAAATATTTTTAGACCGGCCGGTCACCGGCCGGGCCGGGCCGGTCTAAGATTTAAACCGGTCAGGCCGGTCCGGTCTGAATTTTTTTGACCGGTTACAACTCTGAAACAGCTTAAACTTGATAACTCCCTCTTTTGAAAGAAAGGATTATATCGCAGAAAATATCCCAAATTAGTTTGTCTATCCGTTTGTTCAAACTGGGTGTGGGTGTCGAAGGATGGGTGCGAGTGTGGATATCATTGACGATAGTACTTGGACACCCATACCCTACATATGTCATAATAGAGAATCATAAAAAACCTTTTTAGTCTAGATGAAACAGAATTTATTCTTGTCCAAGAATATCAAACGTGTCTAGTTTCAATTAAACAACCAAAAGGAATCACAGTTTATTGAAATTGATGAAAACAATGGAGTTAATTCTCGATTTACAACCTTTGCAACAATTGCTAACGTTTATAACCAGAATAAAATAGATATTGCATGTCAAAGTCTCTTATATTCATTGTAGAAGAACAATCTTCAATAAAATTTCATTGTTTAATTTCAATCGCTGTCAAGCGTTTATATCAATGACAAGTTTCATCAATTAATCTATTCTAATTGTGTTTTTTTTTGGATGCTGATACAATGACAGTGAAAGATTTTGATTCAACTTCAACTAATATATAAATTCAGTTAATATGCAACGCACGTTTGAAAAGTTTCATTACACATTACAATGAGATAATCACTATATCTTGTGATTGCGAAACACTGGCATCAGCTATCATCGTCAAAGAAGCATTTCGAAGGTTTTGTATATCTAAAGAACATAGAGGCATGTATGAACTATTGGCAAAAGATGAAGATGTAACATATACCGATTCGACTATGTTAATTGAGGATATAGTTTCACTGTTTCCTGCTGGTACTATGATTATGCCATTTGAATTAATAAAGAAAGACGAATAAGAACACATTGTATTTTAATTTAATCTTGAGTTTGATTGTGATATAGTTTTTTGTTACTCGTAAGCAAGAGAAAACTGTTCATGATAGCAAAAGTATGATGTGAGACGGAAAACTTTCCATGACACGATTTTTTTTTTCGAAGAGGCATACGAAGAATGAACCACTACTAGTTTCTCTTTTGAAAGTATTGACAACAAGTGTGGAATGAACTTCTTGATTTAAAAAAAAACGTCAAAAATATTTGCATACCATGGATTTAGATAATTAATCGACCCTGAAAAGTACATTCAAATAAAACAATCTAGGGATGTGAGTGTATCTTTTATCATTAACACTGAAAGAGGCCAATGTGTGGTTATATTATCTGATACCGTCTGTGTACACAAGCAAGTGAAGGATTTGGGCTTTGACTATTTATTGGCTACGTTCAGAAAAGTCCACGCATAATTAATTATTTCCTGTTTTTCATTTTTCTATTACTCGTACTAAACAAAATTCGTCACACTAACAGAATAACACTAAAACCTTCAGTTTTATAAAAACGTTTCTATGTATCTTCAAAATAATGAATCAACTATTCCAGATAGAACTATGCAGGGAAATAAAGTTGTTTGTATTGACTTGATTGTCGACTGGTGTCCTGCAATCGACTGAAAGTCGCTTCGATCATGATCGAGCAATTTACTGTACTTAAGATTAATGAACCATATGACAAAGTAAATAAATCATCAAAAAAAAAGATGAACATATTCTAGCGATATTAGTCATGAAACAAAGATATACTTAGTAAAATTGATTGAGTTTTAGAAACATTAAAGACAGTAAGTGATCTACATGCTTGAAAAAAAATTTTTAATGCTGGTTATTACTTATAGAAAGTTTCAGATCCATGTTTTCTGTAAATCGAACCAGAACGCGTAGCCGTCTACACATCAATGATAACCAAAAAGTAACTCAACAGAAGAAAAGCAAACAGGAAAAGAGGTCTAGCCTATCGAAAAGGCGCCATTTCCTTTTATAATGTATCACACACTTCCATATCATCTCTGTTTTTGTAATTATTATATATTCTGCATACTGTTTCACTCGTTGTTATCATCAGCTAAATCTACTTCCTATTGTTCTTATCCTTGATCAAAAATTTTAAAGAAAAATTAGTCTTCCATTTGTTTTTAGTTTTTATAGTTAAGGGATTTGTTTTTTCTTCTTATATGGGTTCATGTGAACTATACCGATTTCAAGTAACAAAGAAAATGAATAGAAGATAGTGAAGGAAAAAAGAAAAGAAATGAACACCGGAGTTATTAAATAGAAAATGAAGATGCTGAATTTTGTTTAGTTTTAGTTTGTTTTTTTTTTTCTCAATAAGAAGTTATAATGAGTTATAGAGAAACAAAGAAAAAAAAACAGAACAAAATGAAACGACAAGCACAATGTAAGCGGAAATAAATCAGAGCAAAAAAAAAGAGTGGGATAAATATATGTTGATGATGTTTGGTTTTCTTTTTGTACAGTCTCACACACACACAGAAAAAAAAACAAATCAAACGCATACATTTATGTATGTCAAGAATAATATAACAAATGATTCAGTTGTTAATCGAAACTGCTTAAAAGATAGTTAGCTGCTAATTCTTCATCGCGATCACAAGCAAGAAATGCTTCAATAACACGATTGCGTTCAAAACCCATATCTTGTAACTAAAAAAAAAACAAAAATAATGCATTGAATTTCATTAATTCAAATTTTAATGAAAAATAATAACGAACTCTGTTTATTGCTTGTTGATCTTGAGGTGAAAGTGTAATTGTAACTGTTCCTGGTGGACCTTGACCACCAGCACCTCCAGCAGCACCACCTTGTAATGCATCATCATCATCATCACCACCATCATCATTATCATCAGCTTGATTCAATAATTCAAGAAATTCTTGTGGTCGTTGTTCAATTAACTAACAAATGAAATAGAGAAAAAACAATAAATAAAAATATGGAAATTGATTATATATATATGATTTTACTCGATAAAGATCCGGTTGAGTAGTTTGTAATGTTTGCATAAGTGTTTGAAGTTGTTCAGGATTATTTTGAATTAAATTACGTAATGCTTGAAATTGTGGATTTTGACTTAATTGGGATAAATCATCAGCTAAAAATATATATACATAAATTCAATATTATTTTAAGAAAAAAAGAATGTTGTATGATGACTTCGAAAAATTTTATTCTAAATTGCAAAACATTTCTTACTAGCATTTACAATTTTAATTATATTTAAAAGTATGAATATTCCTACTCATAAAACTCACATAGAATTTCTTTTGCTTTTTGTAAAATATTAAATTTTCAATGTATATGTTCTAAAAAGTTATCAGAATAAGATATAATTCATTACCTCCACCTGGTTGTCGACTACCAGATGAACTTTCTGAACCAGTTGGTGTTTGTCCTGATTGACCTCCTCGACTTGATGCTGGTCCTTCACCAAGATTAGGAATGTTGCCCTAAACAAAAATTAAAAATTTGATGAAAAAAACAAAACCAAAGAATGAATTTTTATTAATATTTTTTAATTTACTGTAATTAAATATTCGGCAGCACGTTCTACATGATAAAAACTTGCACGTAATGCTAATTCAGCTTGTGAACGTTCAAAACCCATGTCTGTTAATTCGCGTAAAGCTTTTTCACGTGCTTCAGCTGAAGAAAATGTATCTTGTGCAGCAGCCGATGTATTATCAGTTGGAGTTGTTTGAGGTGATTGTTGTTGCTGTTGTTGTTGTTGTGGAAGCGAACTTGGTGCTGGTTGAGGAACATTAGCTGCACGATTTTGTGGACTAGAAAGAAAATTTCTTCATTAAAAACTTAAAAAAAAAATTTTTTTTTTAAACAAACCTAGCAGGTCTAGGAGGATTACTTGGTACATTAGTAGCACCTGTTGATGTCTATAAGAAAAACAAAAAAGAATATGAAATTATTGATTTCATTGAATTGTTAAAATTAACTTACAGCTGCAGCTTTAGGTGGTGCTTGTTTAACAACAACAAGAAAACTGTCTTGATTAATGGAATAAGATTCAAGTGTTTTTGAATCTTCAAGGATTTTTCCCGAAAAAATTAATTTTACTGCATCAGCCTCATATTTATCCTTGAGAT